TGATTTACTTCCACGCCTTCACTCTTAATACTGGGAAATTCAGAGCCTGTGTAGTGATTTGTAAGTACAGCTCTCCATTAATCTCTAGAAATACGAAGAGAAGTTAAATTATAGGCACTTCCAAGTCTGCTACCTGTCAGATTTGTATTCAGGTATTTTTTAATCTCGATCTGAAGCAGTGAGCAGCAGCATACATTATATTCAGAGATATTCAACACCTATAGTGATGAAGAACTCCTGTGTTAAAAACATCTAAAAAAAGGAATTGTGGCTTTGTATTTATGCTTAATTACAACCAAGTGTGCTACTTGGAATACAACTGTCTTTGGTGATCTATTGAAAATGGGTAATTTTGAGGGCCCAGGACCCCTTTTTTTTTTTTTTCTTTTTCTGTTAGACCTCCCCAAATGATTATTTTAAATGAGTATTGAAAACTCCTTAGGATTCCCCTAGCATTTCTCATTGCCAGTTCTGAGCTCCAGTGACAAGAAGCCTGTCCAAGAAGCGGCCTTACGGGATTTTAGCAGCATCCAATTTTTATTCAGCACATGACAGGGTAAGACTGAAATTGATATTGAATTTGAAATGCAACATATTTCCATAAAGATATTGGTGCCAAGATTGCAGCGAGAGTATATAAAAAAACTCAAAATGCAGAGTGGTATTTTCTGTAATTTGGTTTCCAGAAAGATGGAAATACTTTCAAAGGACAGAATTAAAAGGGTCTAAAGGCAAAAAGACACAAGACTCAAAGAAATGCACATGAACCAGTTGTCGGAGGACAGAGCGCCACACAGGCGAGCGGACACCCACCGGGTGGTGGCAGTAGCTGAAACTAAGCCCCTCCGCCCCCTGAACCCAACACAGGCATGAAAACAAGTGCACCAGCATGGAGGTTACCAGAGCTCCTCACCACAGCGTGGTCAAGTCAGCCATCAACAGACTCCTCCCCCATATGTCCTCAGGCTGAGGCTGAGGAGACCACACTGGAGACAACAAATGGACTGTGGTGAATTTCATAAGGTAGCCAAAATAAAGTCCTTTCCCCATCAGCATGAAAACACATACCTGCAACGAACTGCATCCACCCCGGAGCCTGCGACACCGCGGCCGGGGCCGTCCCTCCTCACGGGGACGGTGCCTTACATCAAAGCATGAGGTGAAGCCACCCGGGCAGGCAGGGGGCCTGGCCTCCGCCGCCCTCCAAGGGTACGTCCATGTCTGCTCTTCACCTCACAGAAGAAATCGCTTCATTTAAGAGGACAACGCTCAAGGTCGCACAGGATCCCCAGCCGAGGGAAAGCCATCACTCAGGAACACACTATCAAACAGGTACTTTGTGCCTTCAAAATGCTCTACCTGCCCATTTTCTCATTAAGGTTTTAAATACAGATACGCAGCCACATCCATCTAAACACCTCATGTATGTGCCATGTGCAGTCCGGCCACAAAAAGACTTACCTGGCAATTTGCTAAATACATCCATTTGACAAATAAATTCACAACTTAACATTTGTTTATTTTCCCTGAATCCTAAATTGTTGCTGAAATTTCCTGCTGGCCATCACATCTCATCCTGATATCCAATAGCTTGTTTGAAAGAGAAGCGAAAGGACATTGTATTTCAAGAAAAGCAAATTGTTTTCAATAAGAGCACGCGTTACCCACAGTAATAGGGTGTGTACAAGGGTTAGATTTTACTCACAGTGAAAAGAGGGAAGAGTGTGCTTGAGATAAAGAAATTTGGGGTTGGAGATTAATGACACGATGTGCTCCTGCAGCTCACAGGAGCACGATGGGTTTACCACAATCTCCGAGTAAAGACGGGCACCGTTTGCTGCGCTCTGGTAACCTATCTGGATTTTTAATTTTCATTTTTGTTTGCTGGAAAAAATATGATACCATTTCTGAAATTAAAGCTTCCCCTGGGGTTAAACAATTAGTATAATGAGAATTTCTGAATGCCTGGTGTTCGCACATTATTTCAGTTACATTCTCAGTTCAAATATGTTTCTTAATAATACTGAAGTCAACTAGCAGGCTTCAAAACTACCAAAGCAGATTGTCAGACACCTTTACCTGCCTAATTTCAAACCTACTTATTTATATGAGTACAACATATTCTGCTTGTGCTCTGTGAAACAGCGTTTTCAGTTTACAAAAGCAAACAAGTGTGAATTACTCATCAAGATGTGGTTTCCATTTACATTTTTAGTGGATATCAACCTCAAATTAAGACAACATAAAAGAAAAAAAAAAGTCAAATATTTTAGGCAACACAAGCCTGAGCTTCCTGCTATGTTTTTGCAGCAATTTTAAATCCATAAGTATTTTTTTTCTTCCTGTTGCTGTATAAGGTATCTATATGAAAAAAGAGAAATCAGCTTTTCTTAGCAATGCCCAAGGACTGCACTGCATGTGCTAAGACACCAGGAAAAAAATTGGAGAAGCATCTAAAAAGTAAGTTATGCATGATGTTTGAGATGAAACCCGGTCTCCATAACTGTGGTTTTCTTTTCTCCTTTAATTTTTTTTCCTGCCATTGAATCAAACCAGGCCAGCAAGGGAACCTGGGGGCTGAGGTCTGCAGTCCCCTGAGTTACAAAATCACGAAGGCCACAGAAATGGGCAACAAGTTTACAGACATGTGATTTTCCAAGTGAAACTGCACTGCCAGGCATCCCCACCTGGGCAGGCTCCCACGAAACATGCTCTGGATGACCCTGCTGGTGCAGGAGGTTGGACTAGATGATCCCTAGAGGTCCCTTCCAACCTTAATCATTCAGTGAATAAACAGCAGTAACAAAAACTAACCGAATCATGTCTTGACATAATTATCATCAACAGACAGGCACCAAACAAGTATGGACACATGGCTGAAGTATGCAGCCACTTTGTAAAATGTATCATGGGGAAATGTGATAGCTCTGCTTGACCAGGGCACATCTCCAAGAGATGATTAAGCCATCCCTAGCACAGCTGTAGCCTTATACAAGAGACAAGTACCTTCCTCTGCTTAGGAAACCCTTTGTAAACTTGACATTGACCACTGCTTTGAAAGAATTACCTATCACCCTCAGGTGAAATAAAACTCTTAATTCCTTTGCCAACTGTTCTCTAACATAGCAATCCCTAAATACTCTTTTGCTGTTTTCAGTTGTGGTCGACGTTGGTCAAATACGGTGCAACTACAACCACAACTTGACTGCAACGGTACTCAGAAAGCAGGAGGCAGTTGCCTATGCAGAGTCAGATGTGCGCAGGTTGGAGGCTGCCAAAGGAGCAGATTAAGCATAAAAACTGAACAGTTTGCAAGTACAGTGCAATTTTTGCACCGCTTAATAGCTACTTGATGGAATACTAAAACGCAGCAGTCCTAGAAAGATGCTTCAGCATACATTACCTTCTGGAGGAAGAGGCATTTCTTACATGACAGGCACAAACCTCTAACAGGATTTGCTAAAACCTCCTTATATTGGCCTTTTATTCTATAACTACGTTCTCAAAAGGTGTTTTTTGTTTTTATCCTTCCAACTGAGCATGTGATGCTAGTTAACGTCAACTGCAGAAGAGCTGGTGACAAGCACTGGTGTCATCATGCCCATCAGTCTCTCCAACCCGCTGGAGGAGCTTCCCCATCTTCCAGGTACACCCAGTGAGATACCCTCCCTTGCCAGGAAAGAAGATTCCTGCATGTTTTCATTTAGGAAATATGCCCCAAATAACACCAGTTTAACACTTCTCATGCTTAAAAGATTACCTGCTTAGCATCACATATTCCTGTTTGGCTGAACACATTCATCTCTGCTATGAAAATGCAGCTCTATGAACTGCTGCTTTATGAGCTTGTTATAAACAGTGAGATGACAGTGCAGAACAGTCCTTATTCTCTCTTTCATCAGGAAGCAATTCCCGCAGGCATTAAACAATGACAGAGAAATCTTTTAATATATTGAGCAATTTCATTAAGTTCCCTGTAAAGCAAAAGAAACACAGCTCAAAACACAAGAGCTTTTTAAGCCTGCCATGGAATTTCAGTGGGAAAGTAACAAACCAGATAAGCCATGGGCCTGTATTATACATTAAAAGCACTGACCGAGACATCAAGAACCATAAAAAAATTTACATAAAAAAATATTTAGGATCTATTGTTCAAGCGCAATCATTCATTCTTTTCAGATTAATGTCATCAGCTTCTTTTCACGCATATAATAGTATTGCTTTGATGACCAAAGCACATTCCTAGGTAGAATTTCTAAGTATTACCCTTCTCTCTGTAGAACACCTCCAAATAAAGCAGCAGGCAGATCCTGCCTGCAAGATGACACAAACAGAAAAGCTCTCCATAGCAGAGCTCTCCATTTGCGGTATTTTACTTCTTGCTGCTTCGCAGGGAGGTGCTATGAACCCTCACTCTCTTCTGAACGGAAGAAGCGGTTTTCAGAGACGTTTTCTTTGCGAGGGACCTCTCGGCAGCTCCCGGTTTCCACAGCAACAGTTGTGCATCCTCAGCACCAGTCAACAGCGACTCATCCGTCGCGTCCCAGCAGAAAGAGCGGACGGCAGCAGCGTGGCCTCCTCGAAGGGCGCCCACAACACTCAGCCCATCGAGGCCACAGCTTATTAGGTGGATGTTCCCTGTGGATGTTCCCCCAATAAGCAGCAGTTTATCTGCTTTTTCATGGTACAAGCCACCTACCAGGTAATTTAAGGTGCCGTTTTCGATGCAGACTGCCTCTCGGACATCCAGGACGTGCAGTAATGTTATGGGTTCTTCAGTATCTAACTGAGCAAGGTCCCACCAAGAAAATCCTTCATCGTGTGTCATGCAATAGACCTGTTTATAATCTTTCCCAGACCAGCCAATAAAACTTACGGATGAATCTGAATTGCAAGTTGATATCAAAGCATCATCCTCGTTGTCCTTGTTAATGTCAAAGACATTAACCAGCCCATCAGTTGATCCCGAAACTACCAAGCTGGGTTTGGTAGGATGAAAACAAATTCTAGTGATATCATCATTGTGACTTTCAGAATAGACTCCCAAGGGTTCTTTACTCTTGCTGGCACAGCTTGTATCACCTCTTGCGTCCCAAAACACCAAAAATGTGTCCTTTTCCACTTTTTCCGTTCCGGCACAAATTATGAGATCACTGCAATTAATATCAAAGCTGATGAAAACATTGGAAGGATACCCACTGAATATCTGCACAGCTTTCTGTGTTGCTAAACGAACATCCCAACATTTTACTGTGCCATCAGTGCATGCTGAAAACACCACGCTGTCACGCGTGTGCGCAAACCTGACTCCATTCAGCATCCCAGGACTGCTACTGTACTCCCGCAGGAAGGTTAACGTTGCCCTGTTATAAATCCTAATTGACTGATTGGAACATGAAACTGCCACAAAGTGGCTGCTTTCAGACTGAACAGGTTTTGAAATGTCTATGTCCAACAAGTAAGCAGGTTCTTCACTTAGCACAGAGCGCTTTGCAAGGCGCAGCCTGCCAAACTGCTCCTCAATCTTCTCCATTGCAGCCATCGCGAACGCCGCACTTGAAGCTGTCAGGAATCTGTAAAAAAGAAAATCCAAGATGCATTTTAATTAAGTCATTCTGAAATAACATTAGTATTAAAAATACACAAATGAAAAAGCTTCTTGCATGAGGTCAAAATTTAATTATCCCAGTACCCTGTCTGCTTCAGCTTTATTTACAGGAACAGAACCGGAAGGTGCTTCCTGAGCTAAGGAGTTCAGTCCCCTGAGACTGCAAGCACTACATCGTATAATCCCCTTAGAAGATTAAGTATTCTGTTTTTGAATCCTGTGAAAGTCATCCAGCTAAATTTGCCTTATTATTTTTATACAGTAAGCAGGAAAGCAGCGTCCTCCACACCTGAATAGACCAAGTTCTCACTGCTACCTGCCGCGGAGCGATCCCTGCGCTCCAAGACACAGACACCAACAGCCACAGGCATCAGGGAAACTGCAGGAGACCTCTCAAATTAGCAGGCAAGGGAGGGAGGGAGAGAACAAGACAAAAATTATGCAAAACTACATCCTAAAACAGCCTGATTAAGTAAGTTTTCCAAGTACTTAGGTGCCCAATGATGCACATAAACACCTGCCAACATGGAGCACCTAAGCCGGCTATATTACATGGGGAGAATTCACTGGAATTTAACATCTTTGCTGTTACCCTCAATTCTCCTAAGCACCTAGCTGGGTTTTTTTTTCCAGATTCCTTAACATCTATATAAATCTGGCTCTTGGTGCAAGTGATAAAAAAATTACTTTTGGAAGCAACTCTTCTCTGGCATTACTGAACTCTCCTAGAAACTCTTAACAGGCTGATGTGTAAAATACAAGTACTGCAAAGCAAAACACAATTAGAAGTATTTTCTCAATGCTTACGCACAAAGAAACTTGTCCAAAATAACATGCCTTGAAAAAAAAAAAAAAGTTCTCTGTAACACAAAGCAGAGCTCAACTCTACAATCACACTGAAGGTTTACATTAGCTTAAAGTCAGAAGAAGTATCAAAGCATTTACATTTAAATGAGATGACTGCCTGTCATAATCATAAGCAATTTTAAGTCAGTTCACAGTCTTTGACCATAAAAAATAAAATAAAAAATAAAAAAGGATTACAAGAGTCAAAGATGTAATTGCAGTCTGGAAAATGAATATAGCCAAACTCATGGATGACTTCTGTTAAAATTACAGCTTACACTAGACCACTTTTCACTGTGTAGAAAAGAAAATTTCTTATATTGAGGAAATTATAGTAGGTCCTTGGAGGTCAATTCTCCAGTGACTTCTCATTTGCATGGATATTTTGGCTAATGCATATAAGGGCAAAACACTCCTCAAAAATCCAGTTATTTCCTTAAGAACCATGCCAGCACCTAGAAGGAGTAATCATATGCATAAATGACTCTTTTGGAGAAAATTACACCCGGAACTGCAAAAAGTGATGCCGACTCACAGCTCAAGGAAGCGGGGCGGGGGGGGGAAAAAAAAAAAAAAAAAAAAAAAAAGGTATCTACATGTACTTCCAGTTATCCCAACTTTATTAATTCTTCACACCAGACTCTTAGGAGTGAAATAAGGTACTGTGTGTTACTTGTTTTAGGCTAATTACATTAAAGGTCCATGAGAAAGCAGCAACTTAAGAGAAGTTGCTGGGGCAAAGCTGCCCTCTGCCCTTTTTGTTTGCCTGCAGCACTGGGGTTTTGCTCCCAGCTGGTACATACAAATATCCAGCAGGCCCTGGGACAAACAAGAGCAAATTTTAAAAACAGCTTAAGTAGATGTACCCATAAAAGCTTAATTCCCAAGTCACAAATAATCTCACTAAGCTATGTGCCTCAGAAATATCCCGACAATGAGGTCCCCAGGTTAATCTTCTACATCAAAGCAACCTTTCTGAGCACATCTACGAGGAATTTCTGCCATGAAATGCAGACATCCTGTGGAAACTCCTTTCCCCTCTACGGAGAAGTAGCCAACGCGCTCTCTGGCAGGAGCCTGTGTGCAATCCCACCTGCACAGCTTGCTCCTTACGTGCTTTCCTGCATACGTCCTTAAATGCAGTAAGCTTTTAGGAGAAGGGCACTGATCGCCACCACTGCACAGGAGCTGCACACAAGAGCTGGGTTTTTTGAACTTGACTTTTGAGAAGAATCACACTGCAGCTGTGTAACAAAATATTTGTGTCAGACTAAGTACCCCAAAGACCACAACACGAAGTCAAAGATACAACAATTCCAGGGCAAAAACAGTACAAAAGCATTAAACATTCATGCAAATGAATCATTTTAAGAAAAAGACATATGAAATATGTATTATTAAAATAGGATAGCTTTTGCTTAACCAAGTCTGCCAAAGAATTACAACAGAAACTTTCATTAAAATGGTGTTTCCAAACATACACTTGGATGGGGAGAAAGCAGCTTTAGAGGGCAGCTATCCTACACTGCTGTTATTACCCATGAATTGCATTCTTTCTGTGCACTTCTGCAAGAAAAAGGTGGTTTTCCAGACTGACCTGAATTTGAAGCTCAGAATAATCACGCTTTTTTATACGCAAAAGATCACGTAAAATTAAACAGACACATTCCTGACAAATGTCCTCCCTTTGGAAAGCAAGCTGTTGTTACTTAAATATTACCAACTTTGACAGAGAATTTATTCAATGAGCACTTTTTACAACACTCCTCTTATGTCACAGCTTTTACTACTTTGGAGGTGGGGGAAAGGAAGGGAACTCTACAAATACGTAAAAGCTGCAAAAAGCCAGAGTCTGCAAAAGCATTCTTCATTCAGATTTAATAATATTTTCTGGAAAGTAACACTAGCCCAAGATAGTTCCTAAGCTTTTACCCCCAAATGACGCAGTTGCAGCTATTTGAAATACCAGAAGGAGCTCTTCATGTTTTCCAGCTCGATGTGTAATTTATATCATCAGGAAGCTGAAGGGTAGAGTCTTGGCTTCTATTTCCACTGCAACAATGAAGAACCATAATGCTGTATCTGACCAGGTCTTGCTAAAACCTTAGTTTGTCCTGGTGAAAAAGTCTTCAAACTCTTATGAGCCTCTGATTGAAGGTTATATAAACAATTCCTGCTCAAACTTCAGGGTGTAGCTGCCGGCCCTTCCTTTTCAGGAGGGGAAGTCACTGTTTTATTTTGATGGGAAAGTTTAAATGGCAGGAATAGGATCTGTGTTAAATTTATGAGACAAATAGGAAACCATGGTCTTCCAAACACAATGGCAGATAACTAAGCTCTGGATTGCTGCCACTTACAAAGCACGTGGAGCTCTGCGCCGCGGAAGCCAAGCACCTTCCAGCTCAGCACTCCTTCATGTAGCCTCCAGAGGATGCGTTTTGTGCAGGTCCCCAAGAACCCTTTGGCAAAGTCAGTATCTTGGAGACCTGTGCCCATGGGGATGGAGCACCACAGCCCGGTGCAACTGTCCGAATCACAGACAAAAATACAGGTAACAACAGCATGCTACAAGTATGCATCTCACCTGCACCTGCATCTACACCCAGTGAACAAGGGGAAAAACATCTTTTATAAATTAAATCTGAACCTTTTGTGGTACCAAATCGGGTTCTCTGAAGTGACCAGGCCATGAAACCTTCCTCTGACCTAACCCCATAGCTGTGCGCGATCCCTGTGCGTCCCCGGTATCACGACCACCAGGAGCTTCCTGAAGGACACTCACAACTCGTTACATCTTGCGAACTCAAAGTAAATAGAGAACTCTGAAATAAGCTAAGACATTTTGACCTCTGGAGCATCCTATAAAGCTCCTTTAAAAGGGAAATAAACTTGAAGGCATGAAGCAGAAGGATGCCACATAGGAGGGACAGAATTTACTGATGCTTTGGTTACATATTTCTCATTAATGGATCTGAAAACATGCAGCAAAACTAGAAGCAGACAGTCCTAGGTGCCCAAAACAGGGCTTCCCAGCAATACAGAAGTGATCCAAGTAACACCTAGCAGCACAAACTAAATATTTAATCTTGTCTAAGCATCTGCTGCTGTGCTCTTTGTGTGTTGCTCTGAACATCACCTTCTCAGCTCAGGTCAATAGTCTCACGTCTTTAAAACAGATTTTTTTTCAGAAAATAAACCAGTAATTCATAAACTATTTTCTCTCTCCTTTTAGTTATTTACACTAGAACTATGCAATTCCACGACATCTCATTTCTAAAGCAGACTCTTAGTTCAGCAAGGGATAGGAAAATAAAATTACACCTCTAGAAAAATACATCGGAAAATGTGCAAGAAACAGGACTTTGTCTCAAAGATTAAATCAGTACGTAAGAGTAACTTGTGAGTAGGAGGGTAAAAACATGTAATAAAAATGAAAACAACCTGCAGATTTGACACTCTTCTCTGCAGAGGTCAAATACCAAAAATAGCAAGGGATTTGCACAGCTCTTTCCTACGACGAACAATGCAAACAGACCTTCCCTTTTTATTTTCACAATTATTAAAAGTTCAAGAGCAAAATAAGAACAAACCTGAAGCTCTGGGTGGCGGAAAGCAATTCATGCATGCAGCGTTACATGGGGCTTGCATTTTAAAACCAAAATGCAAAGCACAAGATTGGGTGAGGAGAACAACATTAGCACCTTGGGCTTCCCTAAGGACAAAGCCCCTCAAGACCTCCCCTCCTTGGTACCACTTTGCAGCACAAAACAGGTCAGGCAAGCAACCTAAACAAGCAAGGGAGGCACAAAAAGAGTATCAGGTATACATAACTTCTGTAGAACACAAATTCCTATAGTAGATTTTGTTATTTTATCAATGGAAAGAGCTAAGGTGCTTATGCAGCATGCCCATTTTAAGGCAAAGAGCAGCATTCAGTCTGTTGAGCAGGAACGGAGTAAGATGCACAATGGGCTACACTAACGCACAGAGACAAGACAGAAGCTGCCAAGAAAATTATTTCATCCTTTCAAATCAGCTCCATGTAGTTTCCACCTGTAAAGCACAGCAAGAAACAAGTGCACACGATT